AGACAATGGAATTCAATCCACCCTCAACGCCCCGCATGGGGTGTAAGTGGGAAGCGGTAGTCAAATCAGTGAAACATCACCTCAGACGCACCATTGGAGACACTTTGCTGACCTTTGAGAAGCTCACTACCCTGCTTGCTCAATTCGAAGCCATCCTGAACTCCAGACCCTTAGAATCAATCAGCGACGATCCAGAAGATTTAACCGCACTCACTCCTGGCCATTTCCTTACAGGAGGTCCGCTGACGGCTCTTCCTGAACCATCGCTCCAAGAAATACCCATGCCTAGACTATCTCTATCCAACAACGTGTCCAACAATTTTGGTCACTTTGGTCAGCTCACTACCTACAACAACAACAATCAATATCGAAATGGCATCACCCACGTAATGATATCAAAGGAAGGTAGTTTGGTACTCATTACCGATGAGCGCTCATCACCCAGCAAGTGGCCACTCGCTCGAGTAATAAAATTGCATCCCGGTAGTGACGGACTTACGAGAGTAGTTACACTAAAAACTGCTGTTACCACCATGGCGAGGCCAGTTCATAAGCTTGCTGTACTTCCAATCCCTGAACCACAAATTTTATCATCAACAAATTGATGATGGCGAGCGGAATGTTCGGGATTGAGCAGTTTTTTAATTCTAATCTAAAATTGGGACCGATTCCAGGAATTCTTCCCACTCTATAGCGTCTAATATGCAACAATACTTCCGCATAGCAACATTTTAACGGTTTTCGGCGTAGCAACAGGCTATGGCGCTGTTGTCGGCATCAAAAACTATGCCGAGAATATTTAAGAGCAGCACGCCACGCGCCGCGCCATTGTTCGTTTAACATCCATTCAGTCACTACACATCTGACTCACAGGTTTTCTACTATCAATTCGGTTTAGTGCTCATTGTAATTCTACACCTCGTGCATTAATTGTTATTATTAGTTAGTGCATCTCACATCAGTGTCACTTGCGCTAGCACGAACTTCAATTGAAATCTCCGACAATCAAGAACACAAAAAAGAACTGCACCACTACAATAGAATAATTCTCTATCTCAATAGAAGCAACCTACAACGCTACAAAATTATAATTCATAAGCAGAATAAATAATAATTAAACTCAAATATATTACATTATACTTTTCAGCCTTTCGCTATGGCGAGAGATTAATCCACTGCACTATTGAAATGGTAGTTCGAGCCACAAAATAAAACATTAATTTTCGAACAATATACTTATTTAATATTTTACTGTCTTTAACATGTGAGTATATATCTTTGTGAAATATTGTGATGATAAAAATTTGTTTATTTAGTCACTTTTGTTTTATAAATATTAAGAAGGAGAAAAGCTTTTTAATGATAGATTAAGCTTAAAACTTTTGGTTATATTATTCTTATTTCAAATAACTTATAAGAAATATAAATCTATACAGAACTTTTTTTAATAATGTATATAATAGTTATGTTTGGAATGCCAGCCACCAGAGTTGATCTAAGACCAAGGTGGTTGGATTAGACCGTACAACTGGTTTAATGGCGATGGGGTGGGGGTAATACATCAATTCAGTGTAAACACAATTGGTTTTAGCGATCTTTATTTAAGGTTATGTTACATAGGTAGTTGTTACCGATCGTTATGAGAATTGTTCAGCTCGTCGTGATTTAACAGTTGATCATAAACTGTAGAACGTCGTCCGGGAGTGCAAGGCAAAGACTGTGCTGGTTGTACTGGGTACGCGTTATTGTTCTTAATGAGGGAGAGAATCGCAAGAGTCGCGAATCCATGGGCGCTTTTATCGGCAATTATTCTTGGGAAGTGGATCACAAGAAATGAATTAGTGGGGAATATCAAACAGTATCGGCGCCCTCTTCAGGGTCAGATAAGAATCAAGTTGCAGTCCTGACCGATAATATCGATGCTGTGCCTCAGTACTGATAGTGTGGTGGGGGCCACCAGACAGTATCGGCGCCGTCTTCAGCGGTCTAATAAGAATCAAGTTGCAGAGGCCTGACCTATAGTGTCGACGCTGAGCCGCAATAATAATATGTGATACATATAGTTTGCTGGAGATGCCAGTCAATGTCGTCACTCACAATGCGGTCTGACTAGTGTCACGTTGCGGAGGGCGCACCGATAGCTGGCCAGCAATAGATAATAAATAATGTAAACAAATAAGTATACCTTGCACGGATTCCTGTAGACAGACGTGCAGAACTTTAACTGTTATGACGCACTATTTTCACTTTGACTTACTCAATAAGACTGATTTGCTTCGTCGTCTATTGTTTCTTTTATATGATTTCGTACATTTAGAGTTTATAATTCTTAGAAATCCTGTCAAATTCTCGGAAAGCAAGCTTTATTAGATTCGAGAATCTTCCTTTATTGCTATGCGGATACAGCATAAGGTTTTAAATATCATTGAGAATTTTCGTAGCAAATACTTCAAATATTACACATTAATAATAAATATAAATATAATGGAATCATATTAAATAAAGCAATAAATTTTCATTGCTGGGTAGTTTAATCCTGAACAAGTTATATATTAGTATTGTGTTCAGATTTCTTATAGTTTAAGGATTCAAACTTTTTAAAATGCTTATAATAATTCGTTATTATTGAATATAATTAATTTGTGATATTTATATTTAAAATTATTATTATATGTTTAAGAATATATTATTTTTGCAAAAATAATTAAATGTATAATTAAAATAATTACTATCGATTAGTGTTTTAGATAATATACAACATAGTAATGTTTATAGATTATAAATACTTTATATTTTTGTGTTGTATATATCTATGTAAATAACTAATCATTTTTTTAACTTTTATCACCATGAACAATTTTAGAAAATAAGCGCTTATTCTTTTCTAAATGTTTTCACAATAGTTTTATCACACAAATTAATATTATATTATTTCATATTAAAGATAGATATTCTACATACATAAACTCCATCTTTGGTTTTTATATCAAATAACAAAATCAATGGATTTTAAATAATTTAAAATTATTATAAACATATTAAATGTTATATTAAATTAGAAATTAAAATATATTTAATTTCTTTAAATTGTCACGTACGAAGTTACACGCTTAAATGCATTACTAAATAATACGATATTTATTACTTATTTGAAAAAAAGAATTATTCTTAGTAGTTATTGAAACAATGAAGGAAATTCTATACATATTGCATATTCAGCATTCGTTCTAATAATTGTTAAATCATCTTATAGACATTATGCATTGCTTATTACACGTTTCTGAGTGGATTATTTTCAACCATAACAAAATTTATAATACAAACCTCATTACATATAGATATATGATTTTATTACTCTTAAATTATAAAAAACTTTTTAGATAGGGTAAAAATACATTTGGTCTATTTCTTAATCATATTTATAAAATTTTATGGTAAGTCTTAAATACATTAATTTGTTTTATGATAATCGAAGATATTCTCAAAGTCAAAAATATTGAAAGTTTTAAAAAAATTATAAAAAAACTTTTCAATTTAAAAGATATATTTATATGAAAATTTATATATTTTTCTTATAAATTTGAGATTTAAGAATAGATTATTGATATAAATGGATGATACTGACATTAAATAAAATGATAGCGAAAATACAAGCCTTGAATACTAGTAATTTAAAAATAAATATTTATTATTTAAATTAATTAATATATGGTAATAAAGATATATTAAAAGTGTACAAAATGTATTAAAATAACCATTAGCAGTTAAACAAAAAACCAGATATAAGTAATGAAATTTTTTGCAAATATGAGCATTTTTTGAAATAGAAAAAATTTACAAAAATGACTAGCTTAAGTATATGAAAATATTTTTATTAATATGTTTAAATTTGTATTTAAATTATTTTAGTTAGAAACAAAATTCGAATCATCGCTCAAAATTTTTATTTGATTGATAAAATCTTGTAATTGCACTCCATATGTTGCATCTGTAGAGCGGTCATAATATGCAAATGAAGCATATTAGTTCATTTTAGAAATACAGGAAAGTAACGCTTTGAAATGAAAGTTACAGCATTGAAAGATTTCAGTAAAAAATCATTCAGTAAAATCTTAATTGTACATGAATCTTATTACATGAAATGTTATAAAAAATTGTATTAATTTTCAGTAAATGTACTATAAGTGTTATTACTTAATCTAAATTTTTTTCTGTTAATCATGACTAGACATTCAATATTTCATATAAAACTAACACTAGTAATTATATAACTATTTAAAATAAAAGTAAGTTTAATTACATATTTCTCGATTCAATTATTTTAGCGACTTTAAGACACCTTTCTATCTGTTTCTCTCACTCTCTTTCTCTCTCTCTCTTTCTCTCTACCTATATATATTTATACATACCTTTTTATTTATCTACCAATCTATCTATCTATTCATCTCTCTATCAGATATATTTGTTCATGGCACAAAGCAGCTTCGTACAGATTTCTTTAGGCTTACAGAATTCAGAGGTCATATTGTCATATTTCTACGAATCTTAAAAAGAGTCAAAGAAATGTATATATATATATTTATATATGCGTTCAACACTTTTCTAACTATTTTGTATATTACTGAAAATCGTAAAATTAATTCGTTTAAACATCCGCTAGGTTCGTAATGATCAAAATTTAACCGTCTTAACATTAGATTATCAATCTTTCATGTCATCTCTAGAAAAAACTATTAGCTACTGCTAGTAGCAGAATTTCTGCTAGTATAGTTAGTATTTTATTTTAATGTTTTTTTCAGTTTGTATAAATAAAGTGTACTATTACTTCATTTTTTGAAAAGTATATGCATTTTTAAAACTTACTATATGCTGAAGTGCTGAAGTAATTAAGACACAAATTATAATTACTCTTAGTACCGGCCTTAGATTGTGTATGCCTTCAACAGTTTCGAAAAATCAATTGATATTAGATTTTTGAGGACCTTATACGCGCGCGCGCGCGTTTCTCTGCCTGGTTTTTTTTTATTTATTGATAGAAAGACAAACACCAGTGTTTCGTTTAACAATAATGTAAGTGTATGTGCATTAACCGATTTATTACGAGTTTTAATTTTTTTAAATTTGTATACTCTTTTCAATGTTCTTTTACTCTTTTTAATTAATTTTCATTATAAAAAGTGCATTGCTCCTTAGATCAAGTTTGCTCATCCGTTCATGGCTGCTACAGCCGTCGGTGTTACTACTGTTGTATCCTGCACCGAGCGTCGTCGTGCACCCTCCTTGGCCCTTTATCCGAGGCAGAACTAGAGGCAGGATTAGAGATTATTTATTTTGTTCTTTCTTGCATATGAAGAAATATGACGAGCTTAAGAATCGGTAATATACGAATGATAGAATATAAACATTAAACTATTCTTACATTTGTTTTCTTTGTATTGGTTATTCTTTTATTTTTGTGTTTTTATTTAATTTTTATATTTCAATTTAAATTTTTTTATAACAATAAAAGGTATTCTAATATTAATAATAACTATGTGATATCTAAATCTCTATTAAAACAATACCTGTATTGATTTTAAAATTATATCAAATTTCGATTCAATATTATGATCTTATAATAAAAATTCTTTCAAAATTTTAATTGAACCAAATTAAATTACTTTTTTGTACAAAATAAAAAAATTATTAATACATTGAAATAGAATTTTTAATGTTATAAATAATTATTTCTATTTCTTAAATTCTTTTCATCAAGTGTTAAATATATATCTACTACTTGTATTGCTGCAAACAGAGTTCAAGTTGATTAATTGGAATATACTTGTACATTAAAAAGAAACTAAAGGAAGAAATAATATAAAGAATGAATTCTTGAAATATTTGTACAATTTGTATTTGAACATTTTTCATTTTATACACGTGATATATGTAGAAAAATAGAGCTATAATTAAATCAACATTTATACACAAGTATTATTATATCACTTTTCTTGTTCGCACATGGCAGCCATGAGGCATGGTACGTTATATTTTAACAAAATAATTAGATAATTTATCTATTCATTTTTACCTAATTATTTAAGTTCTACTCATTTAACAATCATTGTTGCGTAGTTAATAATAAGATTTTTACAGGCAAAACAATTCAAGACGATGTTTGTTATGTTGTCGCAAAATATGATTATGAAGCTCAAGGTGCTCAAGAATTGGATCTACGTAAAAATGAGCGATATTTACTTCTGGATGATTCAAAACACTGGTGGAGAGTGCAGAGTTCAAGAGGTCAAGCAGGTTATGTACCAAGTAATTATGTTAAAAAAGAAAAACCGTCACTATTTGATAGCATTAAAAAAAAAGTAAAAAAAGGTTCCGGATCAAAGACTTTACCATCAAGTAATTCACCATCTCGTGTTGTTGAGTCTCCAATAATGCCTAGACGATTACCAGCTGATCCCAGTGAAGCTATTGGATCTGCGGTTGTTAAGTATAATTATCAAGCTCAACAAAGTGACGAACTTTCATTGGTTAAAGGAACAAGAATCTTAATACTTGAGAAAAGTAATGATGGTTGGTGGAGAGGACAAAGTGGTACACAAGCTGGATGGTTTCCATCTAATTATACACAAGAAGAAGGGGATGCTGATGATACACTTCATACTTATGCAATGGCAGAAAATGTTTTAGATATTGTTGTAGCTCTCTATTCCTTTTCATCGAATAATGATCAAGAACTTTCATTTGAAAAAGGGGATCGCCTTGAAATTTTAGATCGGCCACCAGCTGATCCAGAATGGTACAAAGCAAGAAATGGTCAAGGACAAATCGGTCTGGTTCCTCGAAATTACCTTCAAGAACTTAGTGAATACTTAACGCAACCTTATCGTGACCGTGTGGGAGTAGGTGGTGGTGGTACCAATACTAGCAGTGATATTGGGTTAGGTGATTCTTTAGAAAGAAGATCTGATCATCCTCGCTCCAACTCTACAACTGGTATTACTAATACTGTAACCGATAGACCACATTTACTAGGAAAACCCTGGTATTATGGTAGCATTACACGTTCACAATGTGACACACTTTTAAATCAACATGGACATGATGGTGACTTTTTAATAAGAGACAGTGAGACCAATGTAAGTATACTGAAACTTGAATTTAATATTTATATAAGATTAAAACAAATTAGAGTCATTTATATATTTACTATTTATGTTATGCTATATAAATTTGTGTAGTCTTATGTCACATATTTAATTAATAATTAAATAATTTCAAATAAATTGAAAACATATTTTGGGTAATCTATTTGTTATAAAAATGTGAATTTGTTATGATAGTATCAGAATATAATATTTTAATATTACTTTCTAATAATATTTTCATATATATTAAAATTTGTTTGTATCTATTTTTAATAAATATTTATATTATAAATATATTTTATATATGAGATAATTCTAAAATATCATCAAATGAAAAAAGATTAATATATTTAATATTTCAGTATTTAATTTCTATGTTCAGTATTCAATTTCTGTACTTATAAAGTATCAAATTATAAAAAGTATATAATAATATTTATAGTGCATATATATGTATGTTGTAAATATACTACGTATTGTAATATAAATTATATAATAGTAATAGTATACATAATTCAAAATAGTGTAATCAAATCAGTGCATAGTTTTCATATATTAAATAAACAAAACTTATCCTATCTCAAAATGAAGTAATTACTAAATAAATGTATATAATCTTTCAATCATTCAAATAAATTTAACAAATTCAATAAATTTACTTAAAATGTTATAAACCATTTTTTTTTTAAATATTGTTTCAAAAATATTTAGAAATTGATTCAAAACTTCAATTAAAGAACATATCCAGAATTAAATTTTTATTTAAAAGTTACTTTACTAAATTCGTATTTAATTATCTAAGAACAGCAATTTTATTTATTACAAATTCTACAAGTAATTTTAATATACGTAAAGATTAAAATAATAAAAAATGAAGTAAATCATTAATTGCAATTATATACTTATATTAATTTTGTTTAAATTATTATTTGAACAATATAAATAAAAAGTTGTTATTGAATATATTTATTTTAAAAGTAAATGCTATTAAAACAGTTCATTAGCATAAACCATTTAATCAGATTTAACCATTTAACAAGATTACTGAATGATCATATATATTTATATTTTTAATATTTATAATGGAAAATATGTGTAAATAAAATAGGGTAAATATATTTAATATTATTTTAAAAATAAAATTAATATTAATTTTATCAGGTAAATTTATTAAACTGTTTATGATGTATTTAAAGTGTAGAAATAATTCACTTATTACTTATTTTAAAACTAAAATATATTATTTTATTTTATTTTATTTTAGATGGGAGATTACTCAGTTTCACTAAAAGCACCAGGGCGTAATAAACATTTTAGGGTACACGTTGAAGGTGCATTGTATTGTATTGGTCAAAGAAAATTTCATACATTGGATCAACTCGTAGATCATTATCAACGAGCACCAATTTATACAAATAAACAAGGAGAAAAATTGTACTTGGTACGATCATTACCAAAAACCGGAAATCCTAGTAATAATGGTTGCTAGGCTTGTGCATTTCATTCTTTATCGACTGAAAATAACAATTAATAATTATACAATGTTTAGTTTATATGTGTTTATATGCTCCTCCAGAATTTAATCTCCTATCCCTTTTTTTTTTAAATCAGATCTCATCAAATGCTCAGGTCTTATAAATAACACTTAATTTTCCTATAGATTATGTTATACATTATGTTATAACATCTTATAATGCAACAGAAATTAAACAAAGTGGTATTTTCACTTTTTTTAAATAATTTTTAATTTAATTTTTTATAAATTTCAATGAATTTAATATATTTGATAATTCATTGTTCATTAGTATAGTAAATAGACCTATAATGAAATAGTAATGATTTTCAACTTTTCTTAAGCTAATTGCTTTTGTATACAAAACTGAAAAATCAGAATCATTTAAAAAATTTTTACATTTTATCATATTGCAGATAAAAATAGAAGTGTAAATAAGAAACTAATTATTTTAATATTTAATAAAAATATGCATCCTTTTAGCTTATATTAATTAGTGTAATAGCTGAATAAAACTTGTGCAATTAAGAATTGACCTACTACCATTAAATTCAGTATTTATTTGTGATTTTGTATTTATTAAAATATTTCTAAGTAAATAAAATGTTTAAATGTATACTTATGCAATCATATTTTTATTCTTAAATATGTTCATTCATAATTGGTAATACATCAGTTACCGATATTTATTGAATCAATAATATATAAATAATTTAATCAATCTGTTTTAAAACTTTTATTAAAAAAAAAACAAAGTTTACATCACTTGAAAGAGGTAGTTTAATTAAAAGTATTTTTATTAAGATTTGTTTATTGAAAACAGTTATAGAAATTTATTTTTATCTTGATAAAAAAAGTACTATAAAAAGAAAATATTCAAAAATACATTAAATGCATTTTACAGATGCTGTCTTAGCTTTACATCTATATAATTAACAATACAAATTCATTTTTATTAAAAACTAAGTGAATTAAATTTATAAATAAAATTACAATTGTAAATTAAAAATAATAGAAGATTGTTACTCCTAGAGCAATTAAAATTATTAGCAGTAAATACCACGTTTAGGTCATGTACAATAAAGATTTTCTTATTTTATCAACATATATGGTATGGTATTTTTTTATAAGTCCTAAAATTTAATGCAAATAATCACAAGAAAGGATTGTTTGAATTTCGTGTTATATCTCCAATGCCAGAACCCACCTATAAAAAGAACTTATATTAAATATTGATTATATTTTATATGCTTAAGTTAGTCATAAATACAACAAATGACATACAACAAATGGGTTTGCTTTAAATTGTGTTACACTTTGTTTCCATGATTTATTTGATAAAGATGATAAAAAATGAGATTGGACATTATTTATATTTTGAGTTTCTTGGCCAAACCAATGAAAATCTAAAAAAATTGTCTTAATTATGTATAAAAATTAATTTTTATTGAAATAAACGTGATTTTCACTTACCCTCATGAAACATAGGAACTTGTGTTGATCTAAATGGATTTGCTGTATTAAAAATATTTGTTTCATTTTGATGAATATTATTATTATTATTATTATTATTATTATTATTATTATTATTATTGAGAACATTAACAGATGGCTGCCATGTATCTTCAGCAAAAGGATTACCAATAACTGAACTATTCTTATTAAATGTAGACCATGTTGAATTATTAGCTAAAATTTTTTTTGTATCGTTACTGGTTTTATATTAACTACATAATTTGGTTTTAAGTACCTGTAGTATCATTAGTTTCTTTTAGAATCCATGATGTTTCAAAAGAAGTTGAATCATCTTTGATATTTGCTTGTTTCATTAATGAATCCAAGTCTTTTAAGGCAGCATAACGATCTTCGGAAGGTGGTGTATTTATTGTTACATTAGTATTTGAAACAGGCATTGGTGATATTTTATTTTCTAATACAAAAATTAAAAATATTAAAATATAATAAACAAATCTTATATTCAATTAATCATACTTACCTTTACTTAAATTGAAGATAGGATTATTATCAAAATTAGCAAAAGAAGGTTGAGAAAATTTTGTTGAAATGTTAAGTGATGAAGCAGCTGGTACATTACTAAAATCAGCTACGAAGTCAACTGAATTTGAATTTAAAATTTCACTTTCCTTAACATTTGTAATCAAAATAGGTACAGAAGATAATGATTTAGCTGAAGAAACTTTAATGGTTTTAGCATTTGGTTGCAATTTTGTAAAACTTGGGATTTTTTGGTTTATAAATTGATTTGCCATAGTAGGATCCAAGTAATACCTTTTTAATTCATATTTCGCACTCATAAAATCTTTCATCTTTTGTTCATCCTTACTATTATATACATTGCTTTGAGTCATTAAGCCAAGCCAAATTGCTCGGCAGAATTCATTACCACGTTCTTTTAGAAAATCAATTTCTTCTTGTATAAAAGTAGCCATAGAAATTGATTTTACTCTATGTGGTGGAGTCAATCCTCGCCTGAAATACATAAAAAAAAAATTTTAATAGATCCAATAAAAAATATATTAATAATTTATATATTTCCAATATAAATAATAATAAAAAAGAATATTTAACTTCAATTTTTTTGAAATTTTATTTTAACTACACAAAAACTAGGTATAATTTATACCATTATACTCACAGCATTCCTGAACAAGTTGTACAAACAAAAGAACCTATTGTCATATTTACATAAGTTGGTCCACGCTGTTGGCAATCAAAGCATTCTTTATTACCAAATTGTGAAACTAATTCACGTAATGTCTTTAAATTTTTTTCATCCTGTTTCTTTTTTGCAGATGCCATGTCAACTTTATTTTAAAAATTTTGTATTGCAATATAAATATTTAATTAAAGATGTAATTAGTTGATTTTAATAAATTTATAAAAATTTGTGAAGATTGCTGTTTACACGTTTCAATTTAAAAAATGTTGATTGAACACAGCTGGATAATTTACTTAACTAGAAGTTTTGTATAGTGAGAGAGGTATCGTTTATATAAATAATTATCTTTTGCATGCCCCATCAAAACTAGTATTCATTAATTGCATAAAACAATTTTTTTACAGAATATAAAGTATGTAAATAAATACTTCTCTGCTTGTAATAACTAAGTAATGTATTCTTTTTTCTTTCACTCGTTTCATGTATTATTGAATTCTACAGCTTTTTGAAATTAGCATAAAGTTTTTGATGACGTTTCACTTCTGATTCTATAATCTATATTTTCGTAATTAGATAACCTGTTAAGTCTAACACGTAAAAAACGATATAATCTTTACTGGCGTACATAAATTTCTTGAATTAGATTAGGTTAGAAATATATAAAACTAAACAGTCAAAACTATATAAGAAAATATAAAATAAGAACGTTCACGTGCGAGCGCCCTCTGTAGTATTATTCAATTCATTTTTTTATTTACACATTCAAAAGAATCATTTATATTCTTTCAATTTTAACTCTATAGAAAATTACTTTCCTCACATACAGTTTTACTACATAACTTTATTTATTACATACAACCAATTAGTTAAAATTAAATTTGTTCCCATTTCAACTAAATCATAGACAAATTTGAATTGTATGATTAAATTGTATTGCAACAGTTATTTTTATACTATTCCTGGCTTCATTTGTTAATTACATAAATTATTTCTTTATGGTAATTAAAAAATTAAAAATATAAAAATTTATTAAATGTTAATAACTATAGACAATAATTGTTTTCAAAACTGTAAAAATAAATAAACCAAATATTTCAAAGATTTTCAATTCATTACCTTTTTAAATTTTTTAATGTTTTTAAATGCCCATTTAAAATTAATAAACTATTTTATATATAAGAAATTAAAACATTACTTCATTATATATTTTAAAATATTATTTCTAAGTATAAAGAACTCTTTTTTATTTCCTTGGTTAATAAACTGAAATTAAGGAGTGGATTTGCTTTCAGATCTAATTGTTTCAAACTGTGTCTTCTTATCAAATCCAAAACTTCTTCTAAGTTTGTTATTTTATTTTCTGATAATAACAAAATCTTCAAATTATGTAATGTTGGAAATGCTTTTAAAGAACTTATATTATTATTTGATAAATCAAGTTTAATACACTCTTGTAAAATATAAAGTTGATAAAGCTGATACCCAAGAGAGTTATTACTAAAATCTATTTCATTATAAAATGTCAAATAAGGCTTTTGCAAATAAATAGTTGTTAGTTGCATATTTGATAAGTTAATAATACGATTTGTATTATTTCTATTTTCAAATTCAATGGCATCTATATTATTTATAAGAATACATTTACTACCTGTAAAAATCTATTTATTATTCTTTTATAGTTATTTATATAATTAAAAACACTTTATGTCTTAATGAAATATAACTGTATACTTACGCATATCTTTATAATAATTTGCTCGAAGAGGATCAATTTTTATTAAATCGTTCAATTCTTCTATAATATTAATATTTTTATATACAAAATTATTAATTATTAAAAAATATACACTAGTTAATTTAGCCCATTTATTAGAAGGCTCCATTTTTGAAAGCATTAGATAATTATGAATTTGATCATGTAATTTACGATTGTTACAATTGCTATTTAATATTTCGCATTTATAAATCCACTCAAATAAATTTGATTGCTTAAATTTATATATATTTTCTTCAAATTTCAAACATACTTTGTTGTGAAGAGTAGATAAAGGCTTTTCAAATATTGCATACCATACAGCAGAAAATTTCTTTCCATTTGCAGACTGCCATTTGCAATCAATTTTTTTATTATTGAAGAATAACTCTAAATTTAATAATACTTCTTCATGAAATGCAACTGTTATTGTGGTTTGTGTTAATATTGCTCGCCATAATTTAATGGATGATTTATTATAATCTAATAACCATCTCTGATAAAACCAAGAACTTGAATCATCGGGATCAGTGAAAGTTGCATTCATTACCAGATCTAATTCTAAAAACACATTAAACAAAATAAATAATTTATATAGTTAATATATACTTTGCAAAAACGATACCTTCAATAAGTTTATTATCACTAATTGGTGAATTATATCCACAATTTGGATACAATTTTTGTAATAATTTACTTCTATAATGCCATGATGAGTAATTTGAAAAATTATTCAATATTTTAAACGTAGTAAATTGAAGTTCTTCTTCATTTGACAAATTTGATTTTTTAACTATAAACTGTCTATAATCCCAACAATGAACTAAAATAATATAATGAGTCAAAATTAATCAAATAAATATTTATAATCAAAAACTTACAATTTCTTTCATCAACATCAAGACATTTATTGCATAATTTTAATTCTTTTTTCCAGTCTGGATCTGATAATTGGTGAATCACCCATGTACGATGGAACCAAACACAATAAGATTTTGGGTTCTCTTTTAAACTTATTTCAGTCAGAAACAACTCATTTTCTAATTTTTGTTTCCACTCATTAGATGACCTATAAATATATAATTCTATACTGATTAAAATGAATAGTTAAAAATATTATAAGATAATAAATAAATTTATGTAGAAAATATAATTAAAATATAAATGTATAAATTACCAGTTATTATTTAAAAAGGCTTCTCTTCTTATATTCCATAAAGTATTAATATCAGGTTGTTTAATTAAAAGTTTTTGTGTTATTATTAATAATTCATTATCCCATTTATGATTTTTTCTCTAAGTATAATAAACATTAAAATTGAATTATTAAAAATTGGAGATAAAATGTTTAATAGAAAAAAATTAAATACCTTTTCAAAAACAAGTGTAATTTCTTTTTTAAATTCAAATGCTATTCTTTGTTTCTCTAATTGTTTAATTTTTTCTTGTTGCTCAGTTGTACGAACTTTTACTCTACCATGCTATAAATTCAAAATATATTTTTAAAATAAATAAAAAATTTATATAATTACATCAATTTCCATTACCATGTTTAGAATAAAAATTAGTTTTCAATATTTTTTTATAATTTAGATAATCTTTTATTTTAGATTAAAATATATAGTTTTTAAAAAAACATGCTATTTGTTCAAGGCAAAAAGATTAAAAAATTTTTATAAAAATTGAAGTTTAAATACATATAAAAATATACAAAAGAATAATTATTATTGTTTAATATTTAATTAAAATTAAAGAATGGACGATCTTAATTCACAAGAACTGAAAATGGAAAGCATAAATTACAGACATGCGCAATTAAGGACTAAGCTAATTGGCCATTGGTTTCAATATATGAAAATCGAACTACATATGTTCATATATAAATAAATATTAAGTTTATAATTAATAAATAATATAACTTACAATAATATAATATCTTTATAATAAATAAAAAATCAAAATAAATTTTAAATAATTCATTATATTTAATTTTTAGAAATTAGAATTTTATAACATCTATGTATTATTTATAAAAATTTGTTTTTATGTTTATTATATATAATATCAATATTATAATACACTCTCTGCCTATTAAAGTATGAATATTGCATTGAATAATATTGTAATATTTATTATTTATAATACATAACACTAATTATATTTTATTAATATTGGAATAAATAATATCTACTTAAAATGAAAAACTATATGTAGCTATCCTTTTAATTTAATTTCAATTAAGAGAGGTATAAAATATTATATATTGATAAATATTCATTCAAATATAACATTAAATAGGTAAAGAAATTATTTTATATATGTTTTAATCTATAGATGGGTAAAATATATTAATATAATATGTACTTATGTAATTATAGATTCAAATTATATAATATTAAATTCTTATAGGTAATACTGTATCTAAAAAATGGTACTTTAATTTTTAATTACATATTGTAGATAATATTATTATAAACACAATTTAATTTAAACTTAAATTTTTTCACAAATTTATATAGAATCATTTATATTGTTGGAATATTTTTTTAAACATTATACTGAACTAGGCTTATTTAGAAAAGCCAATAAAATTAGAGCTGTGTTGCGCATGTTCAAAATTCACGAGTAATATTTCATCAGTCATTAAATATGCTGATCTCATTTATTCCCTTGGAATTTTGATTTTATGCTGGTACAAATAATCTAAGACGATGTATGGATGTAGGTAGGGTTTTTAAAAAGAAATTCATTAATTATACAGAATACAGATACTATCTAAATAAGTTAATTTTAAATAACTATTACACTAAATTCGATGAAAAGAAAGTGATAAAATAATAAATAAATTATGTCTATTTATAAATTTTTCAATTTGTATTCGTATAGCAGATTAAACTATACAGATTTTTTCCATTTAAGGTAAACCCTAAAATATATTTATTTGATAAGTAATTATTAATAAATATGTTTCTGTTTATAGTTTTTTTTTTAAATGTAATGAACAGCAGGCCTGGATATCAAACAAGCAAAGAGTTGAATTCGGATTACCTTTACCACCAAAGAAACCATTAACTGGATTCTTTGAATTTGCCCAAATACGTCGACCTGAACTGCTACAAACACAACCACATTTGTCACAGCAAGAAATAATGAAACTAATTGCAAAAGATTGGCATAATTTGAACACAGAACAAAAGTTATTAGTAAAAAACAAAAGTAAATTATTATTAAAAAATTATTGTTTAGAATATGAAAAATATAAAAAATCTTTAACGATAGAGCAACAAGACATTATTAAACAATTAAGAAAAGATGCGCAAAAAGAAAAACAATTATTAAAAACAAAAAGAGTAAAACTACAATTGATTATTTTATATTTTAATGTTTTGCAATTTATAATTTCTAGTTAAAATTTCAGAAATGTCTGGAACTGAATAAACCAAAAAAGCCAGTATCAATTTTTATCAAATTTTGGTTAGATAAAAAATATCAAAGAGATAAAAATATTAAACAAACAGTGAGATTTATTATAATCGTATTTGTATGAATGCTTGTATAATTAAAAAATTATACCTTTGTATTTTTAGGAATGGATAAAACTTATAGCTACAGAGTGGATGCATAATACATCAGATTTTATTAAAGAACAATATAGAGCAGAATATTTATCAAAATTGAAAAAATATAAATCTGATATAACAGCTTGGGAAGAGAAAATGATTAGAGAACGGCATACTGATGTTGTTCACCCTACAAAACTTTTGAATGATAAAATTTAATAATGCATATGAATAAAACCTTTTATAATTGTATTGTAAAAATAAGTATTTTCATATATTTTAATTTATGTTATAAACCGGAATAATATTGCTTATTCAAATTAAAATCTTATATAATTTAATTTTTTCAAATAAATTCTATCTGATTAATGTCATGATACCAAACAGATGTAATCCAATTGAAAAATATAAAGCTGGTTAAATATAATGCAAAATTTTTTAAAGCTGTACTGCATAAAATTACTATTCTTTTCACATTGTGTAAAATTTCAGGTTTGATATTGCATAAAATTAATATAGCTATTAATATACTGCTATTAAATTCTTTTAATTTATTTCCAATGAATAAATGCATTATTGTCATTATTGTATAAGGTGTTATAATCCCCTGAAAAATTAAATTAAAATATATTATTCATTTGAAACATTTTTAATATATGTTAATTTTATACCTTATATTTATAAAAATCGACATGTACAAGTAAAATATTCATAAATGCAGCAAGAAATATATAAGACAATGAACTGACAAATAAATACTGAAATATTTTACAAGTATAATTAACTGGACTAAATGTTGAATTGACATTTATATTATAATCATTGCATTTTTTATCTTGATCAAAATTTTTATAATTTAAATTTTGGAAACCTAAAGGATGCTGAAATTGTTCATCTGGTTTAAAACTATCTTGAGTTTCAAAATTTTTGTCTGTAATATGTATAAAAGTAAGGTATCAAAAATTAATTTAAATACTATGAATAATTATACATAGTGTATTGCTCATAAACATTTAATTTATTAAATTAAATAAACCAGTGTAATTTGAGTTAAAAATTTAAATTACTAGCATAATCTTAATTATCAAAAATAATAAAAATGAATAAATTATATCTTTTATTCAATTAAAATTTACAATACAAGTATATACAATAAACTATATTTTATTAAATATACACAAATATAAAAATTAATATTAATTCTTATATTGTAATTGTATTTTAATGATAATAAATTTGTAGGTATAATAGAATTATATCCTCCCAAACAAAAAATTTTTGGTTTATTTTGAAATTTTTTTTTTTGCAGTTATATTTATGTATGCCTTAGCAACAACATAATCAGTTCAATATTGTATTATTGAAAAATTCATATCCTTACTTAAATTTTCTAAAAATAAATAAAATAATTTTTATTAATTTTATTTTTTAATTTTATTTTGGAGTACATTACCTTTTATGCAATTTTTTCCAGTAATTTTATTAAGCCGGTCATCTAAATTTTCTAAAATACGTTTTCTTCTCGCTTCTCTTTTAATACCAGGCTCAGCCATGATAATTTCTATATTTTTAATATTACAATTTACTTTAAATATTAATCAATAATTATTTTAATATAATTATACATAACTTCACCTTACATTATATAAAACTTAGTTACTTAAAATATAGATTACACGTTATACAAAAATGTAACCATGTCTAAATACAATTCTCGATTATAAATTTTTTCCTATAGGAGGCGCAAATGGTAAATCTGCTTTACGCGGATTAATTCGATTATTTTATTTTATATATAGTAAATATGAGTGAAAAATTAATAAAATTTAATATAATTTATATTATTCCTTTTTTTTTTTTTTTTTTTTTTTTTTTTTACAAATTTATCAAATAATTCTCAGTAAGCGTGTATAGCAGTAGTACTATTATCACGCTTGGAAATTGATCAGCGCAATAAATAAAAAATTTTGTTAAATTATTCGTAAACATTTTTATTTGTTTCTTTATAAATTTTTACTCAATTTATATTTTAAAAATTTCTATATATATATTTATATAACCTTCATAGCTTTTAGATTTAACTATAAGTATTATTATAGTATAAGTATGAAGTTAAGTATTGTATATATTATCTTGTTCGAAAATGTGAAGTTCTGGCTAGAACTGCAAATGTTTGATAGCTTATTATAATTTGCCGCCCGTCCTTGTAGATGCTTGCGAAGTAGTTAAGTGGAAGAACTTTACATAAATACAGTATGCGTTTAATATGGTCTATTAAAGTTTATTCTCAATTACATTATTGTATTGTGTTGGAATTATGTGAAGGAAGGGTAAATACTATATTCAATCATGATGATTCAGTTGCTTGAGCTGATTCCGTAGTGAATAGTTACCTAGACGAGATGTTCCTTGATGATGGATAATTTGGTTTACCGTTTCGGATGCTGCGTATGTATGAATTAACTGTAGTTGTAGTCTGGTATTTTCTTGATTTGACGGGGATAGTGTCAACTCTTTTATCTTGCAACACAGGAGACGCGTCTTCCTTTCTCGGTGGCCTTACCTTGATAGTGTGTAGCGAATAGCTTACTGGCTGACTAACATTACTGACTGGTTTACTGGCTGAGTAACAATAAGTCTTGTCTCGTGGTGTGCTTTCTTTAAATATTCACCAGGCAGCTTACTTAGCTGACAACAATGCATAGGTGTTGCTATGCGAAAAACATTACAGGACCTTCCAGTCTAACCCTTTAGAAGTTTCGAGAATTCCGGGAAAGCAAAGCTTTAGAAGGTACGAGAATTCCAACCGACGTTGTTATACGAAGACGAGATAAACATTATAGGACGCTCGAATATAAAGCTTTGGAATATTTGAGAATTCTTGTAATTAAGTGTTTACAGAAATTCGAGAACTAGAAGGGTTATAAATTTCCGAGAGCCTAAGGTCTTGAAAAATGCTTCAATTTCGAACTAACAGTATAATCAGTAATGATTTCTATAAAGATATTACAAAATCTACTTTAAAATTATTGGAGAAATATAGATTCAGCGAGAACGTATCTCTTCGATATTAATTTGAATACTACTATGAAAGCAATTCTAGTTTTGTCATGATGCCAGTCACAGTTAAAAATCTCAAAATCGTTTGAAATATTCATTTAATTTATCACATTTTTTATTTTTTATTTTATTTGATTATGATAATTTTAATCTTTATTAGTTTTCTTACTCATTTTCAAATGTTATTTATCTAATTAATAATAATAAAATTAACGGAATAAGTTTTAATATAATTTATATTGCAGAACGTTTAATTGTTTTCCTATTCTAGTTATTCTAGAATATTTATTAAACATAGTCATTTAAGAAATATCTACTAGTTTTAAATATTTTAAATATTTTTTTATTTAATATAGATCCATTATACGGTGATTTGAATAAAGTAATTACTTTATCAATTGTTTTTTTTAATCCTTTTTGTATTTGTCTATTAAATAATAATTATTATAATACTAGTAAAAATGTAATATTAAGAAATTATTCTTATTTGAACCTTTTTGAAACACTTTTTTTTTAATATAAAAGGTTTTTGTTTAAAAAATAAAAGTTTTATATATTAAATTTAATTTATAGACATTTTTTTAACAAATCTATACATTAATTATATATATAATTGTTACGGATTGAAGTAGTTAAAGGCGGAATACAAAAGTACAATTTCACTACGCAAAATACCCGAATTTACATTATAATTCCGACTAACAATGCCGATGAACTCTCCAAAGCTATATCCTAGTGACATCACGATAATAATCGGCTTAGTAACAGGCACCAGGGCGGTACCGGTGTCGCAAGCTCGTACAAGAATATTTCAGGAGCAGTGCTTGACGCGTCTCACTCTCTTACTAGTTCAATCAAGCACTCCTCACGACAGGCTAGCTATTCTACCTACAATCGCCATTATCACCGTAAGCAGCAACGCATCACGGATGTTCCTTACGACCACAACTACATCGGTTCTCACGACTACCGAAGCAGTGACGTACCACGAACATCACTCACAACCACAAGTATAAGAGCGGCCCAAAGCCCATGTAAGTAACGGACACTACCGATATTTACTCTACACCACGCGATCGAACCCCCCGCTCACGCAAACAGCGACGCAGCACGGACATCCGCCCCACCACATCGACAGCAGAGGCGCTTACGCTACACCGTCGGCAAGAGCAGTATCGTCCCACTCTCCCTTCCAGTGCGCGCCTACCACTACAGCAATTCATCCTGCGAGGGGAAGGAATCGCGCCTCATTATATCGAAAGTAGGCACACACAACCATCGACACTTACACCAATTGAAGAAACATTCATATATTTATTCACTCACACCTGCATTCAGACATCTATGATCATTGACTAATTGTTATATTTATGATATTTAATAAAAGGAAAGAATATAAACATTAAAGGCAGTATTGAGTAATTGCATTGCCCCTTCCACTTGCCAGCAACACCTCCACCCACCATCATAAGGAGGCTTAAGTCTGATCCCAGACAATAATATACTAAATAAAATAGCTTAATTGGAAGGAACCAAATGAAAATAATCAATTTTTGTCGAATGAACTTTATGTAGATTTAATCATATATACTTGTTCGATTTTAAGGATTTACTTTATGGCTCGAACTGCTAATTCAATAGTTCAGTGGATTAGTCTCTCGTCATAATAACTTCAGGTAAATAATAAGTGGAAGGGCTGAAAAATATTATGTATTTTAGTAAAAACAATGTTTATTATTTGTTAATTATTATAATAATATTGCACTGTTGTTGAGAGAGAAGATTATTCTATTGTAGTAATGAGGGTGTTTCCTTGTGTTCTTGATTATTGCAGATTCTATGGCTATTACTGTGTCTTGAAAATTGAGGTTATGCTGATGTAAACATTAACCTGTGTAGTCAATCATGCTCACGAGATAGCATGAGAATATGGTTTTTGAATCAAGTATGCTTCATTAATGGAACAACTACACTTGATAGAGTGTAAGAAGTCTTGATGGAAATTGGTGCGTAATCAATTATGTTTTAGTTATAATGGGAACAGTAGAAAGGACTAGTCATACGCAAGAGTCATAAA